ATCCTCACCAACATTTGTTGTTGCTAGTTATTTGAAGATGTGCCATTCTCACTGGGGTGAGGTGGTATCTCATTGTGGTTTTAATGTGCATCTCCCTTATTACGAGTGATGTTGAACATTTTTTCATATGCTTGCTGGCCATTCAGGGGAATCTTTTTTACTGATATCTGATACTTGCTTTGCCTCCTAAAGATGAGGACTGTATACTTCTAATAGCAACTGCATTTAATGAGCAACATTTGTTAGCCATGAGCCTTATTAGATGGTTCACAGCCATTATGTCTCGAACCATATAACAACATTACGTTTTAGTATTGTTCTTGCTACCATATTACCTGTGGAGGAAGAAATGGAAACCTTGAGAAATTTATCATGCTCAAAGTATCAAGGAAGGTTGGAAATGCAATTTTGTGTCACTGCAAACCACATGCTCTTAATGATCATAGGACACTCTCCATGGAACAAACCTAGACACCTGCCCTCCACTTTAGTGAGTGAAAGAACTGGGAGCAAAGAGGCTGAGACTCCAAAGACAATCATGTCTATGAGACAGAAACATCTTTTCACTCTGTAGCCTTAGTGGAGGGCCATCTTTGGCATCTAGCCTCTCAAATACACTTTATCTTGACTCCCACCAAACTTCTTCCACCATGAGGGAGCAGGCGTGGGTCTTGCCCTTGAGAATAGAGTGTGCCTTCAGAAAGGAATGTTTTGTTTATTTTTTAAACCAGGGTTTTGTGACTGTTGTGAAATCTTAAGGTTGTATATGAGGCATAATTAAGTGGTCCTAGGCTTCTAACATTCCCAGCCAGCACTTAAACATCCGGATTATTTTTTCTAAGTACAACAGCTAAACTAATTCCTCTTCTAGTAACACCATCATTGTACTGCAGTCTTTTCAATTGGCATCATCTCAACTACCTTATGCTCCTTTCTCTAGCCCCAGTAGTTGGCATGGTGTCTTCTGCCAGATGGGCAGTTTGTCAAAATCTGTACTTGAAATCACTTCTGATTCTTTTCAATAACTAGAATGGTGGCAAATTAACGCCACTGAGGATAAAGTTGATTCCTTGAACCTTTTAAAATATTTTCTATGGGCCCTCCCTGATGGCGCAGCGGGTTAAAGCACAGCACTGAGAATCTAAAGCCGCTTCCGCATGAGTTCAATTCCCGCCTGCCCTGGAGGTGACCACATGGCGTGGCAGACCTCTCCTGACCCGCCCGCTGCTCCCCTCAGCAGTGTACTTCGTCGATCTGCCTGTTCTGCTCCCCACTCTGTCTCTGGTGAATCCTCTCACCCTCCGCATCTCTGGCCTGTACCCCAGTTCTGTATGAATAAATAAATAAATCTTTAAAAAAAATATTTTCCATTATAGCGAACAAAATGGATTTTGTTCAAAATCAGGAGTGACTAAATTATATTGAGGTAGACTTTCTTGTGAGCAGTGTATACTGGTTTTGAAGTTAAAAAGAAGAGTGTCCAGCTTCACCTGAGAAGTCACCTCTTTGGAGTGAATCTCAAAGCGATGACTTTGAGGGGATAAAGGAGTACATTTTTTTAAAGATGGGATATTCTGTTTAAACAAGTTCATTTTGTCTCACCTTATTATTATTATTATTTTTGACATTGCTAAAAATTTCATATTTGTGAGGCTGTAATGTGAAGCTAGCCTAGAAGAGGGGCTTCTTGCCACACTCAGTGTGGCTTTTGTTTCCCATAGATACCTGCTAAGTAGTTGGCATTAGGGTATGTACACACCAGAAGAATTAGAATTGATGGAAATGATTCATTCTCTCTTTCAAGTAAAAAGAAAAGAAACTTGAGTACTGACATGAAGAATGCTAACAAATGCATAGGTAGAGGAGCTTTTCTGTTTACACATTAATAATAACTGTCAACTAAGATGGGGCCTTTTATTTAACATTTCATTCAGGCCAACTTAGAAAATTTTATGTTTTTACTAAAAGTATGATTTGAGCCTCTCTCCAAAATGTTCACATAGGAGTTTAAATTTAATGCAGTATATGCCATAATTGCAATTATAACCACGAATTGAATAGCTTATCATATTTTCACTAGTGAACACAATAATTGCAATTATGTTTTGGAGACATATTCTGTGATGGGCACTGTATAAATATCTCCAATTTACAAGACTGCTTCCAAGATACACATTATTGTCCTTATTTTACAGACTGGGAAACTGAGAGTTGGAAGGATTAAATGACTTGGCAAAGACCATACAACTCTTAACCTACTTATTTAAAACTATATAAAATGCTTCTGCATCTCCCATGCTTTAAAGAGGTGTCCATGCCAAGCAAGCGTGAATATAAAGCTATAGCCAGCCATTAGGTATGTCTCAGTTTGGGTGTGATTTACTGTGACTCCCGTCTTTCCCTGCTATATTTATCAGTGTCGACAAGTTATTTATTTGGAAGCTCTCTGGATTTATGTGCTGTTTATTCCATTCATTCTCTCCCATGTTTATGTCCACCCCTACCCCTTAGAAATTCAGATCACTTGAGGTTTTTGGTGGCTCTGTAACTGACAATCTCTCTTGAGCTACCTTAGTGTATGGAGCCATTTCACAATCAAAGCTAAATCTCTTCTCCTTGAACTACTTCATACTGAGATTTCAAATGAGGAAAGGCAAGAGGCTTCTAGTTTCTTAGTATTATCTCCTAGTAGCCATAACTTCTTCATGCAAAGTGAGCGATAGTACATTGTACCTGTGGAAGTGAGGTGTTTTCATCTGTGAAAAGAAAGGAAGTGGATCTTTCCAGTTTTCCTAGGTTATGGACACTAAAATGTCATGAAATTAAAAAACAAAAGTAATACCATTTCTGTATGACTTCCTTTTGGAAAAGAGAACTTTTCTATTACCCTATTATTCCATAAATTAAAGGAATCCCTACTTTTGAGGGCTTTACTGACCCAAGAAGCACCTGATTTGTGTGTTGTGGTTCTTAGATATTTGGGCATAGTCCCAGGTCTGATCACTGAGCATTGGGTGTTTCTGATGCTGGGATAAAATCCTTTTTTGGAGCAAAGTGTGCGTAATTTTGGCAGATTCTCTCTCTCATCTTGTTTAAACCTCACAGCTACACAGTAGTAGGAGGTACTTTATCCTCTTGCAAAAATAAAGAAACTGAAACTAGGCAAAAGATGACTGACTGGACTTTATCTGAAGTCACATGGCTAGTAAATGGTAGTATTTTGACCAAGGTTTTGTCTGTGTATCATACTGTGTTAGGTGTTGTGGTTTTCAGTTGCCCAGAGATTCATCAGTACTAAGTTTTAGAATTTGAGACACAGAACAAGAATTCAAATGGAAGCCAACACAGTCAATAGCTTTAACTACTGATGAAGCTGGATTGGAGAACTCGGAAGTGTCAGTTACCTCCTTCCTGGAAACTGAAACATGCATTATGCCCTAGTCACTCACTCTGACCCAGCCATCCCGTGACAAACAGCTAGAGAGAAGTTGTCACATAGAAAACTGGCTAATCTGAAGCAGGTAACCATGGTCCTGCTTCAGATGTGGGAATTAGCCTATTCCAGGTGTTAGCATTGGAGGGAGCACTTGCTTCCTAGAAAATTAGTCACCCATTTTTGAGAAGTAAGGAGGGGGTTGGGAGGAAAGGCGGTGGGGGAGTGGGGTGGGGAAGGGGATCACTGTAACAGTGCTTCCTTCTAGGACACAGACCAAAAGTCTTTTCTTGAAATATAAGAGAATATATTATAAAAGTCCTCTACCCAAAGCCTCCCCCCAAAATAAAAATACTCAAAATTTTTTCCCTCTTGAGTTCCTCTCTATTGCTGTTATTATCTCCTTTCTTTTCAATTTTAGGATTAAAGGAAGGGCCATTGAATTTTTCTCTGTGCTTTGGATATAAAGAAAAGAAAAGTCTAATGTAATAGAAACCAAGAAGTGGTCTTTATGCAAGTCATAATAATATTCTTTCTTCTCATGACAGGTGATGAAAATATACTGGAACAGTGGGAGAAGCGGGTAATTTATAGGAAACCAAGATGACAAGAATTTTTTTAAATAATCAGTAAGTAAATTTTATTAGCCCTTTGGACATTTTTTGCTGTGAGGTGAATTTTCTATAAAAACACATGGTAAAAGAATAGCATAGTAATTTAAGAAAAAATGTTTTAAAAGTAAATAGTTCAAACTAGAAAGTTGATGCTTTATTTGAGATATTACAATGGCCCTTCCTTCATTCACTGGTTCCATATCCATATTCAGCCAATCATGGACCTCGAATATATGTTTGGTACTTAAATCTTTGTTGGTTGTGTCTGTGATGAACATGTACAGATTTTTCTTTTTTGTTTTTGTTAGCTAAACAATGTAGTATAACAATCACTTTCAAAGCATTTAGTTGTGTTAGGTATAATAATCTAGAGATGATTTTAATTATATGGTAGGATATATGTATGTGTATATATGTGTGTTATATGCAAGTACTGTGCCATTTTATATAAGGAATTTGAGCATCCAGAGATACTGATATTTGTCAGGTTGGAGGTTCTGGAACAATCCGCCTAGATACCCAGGTATGACTGTTGTTCTTGGTAGGGTGTGTCATTTTAAGTACAGTGCATCCTTTTGGTGAATAGACCTAAGTACTTAAAGAATCAAAAGAAGATTCTGTTTATAGTAAATGTGAAATAGCCCTTCTCAGATCCAGATATTCCTAGTAGCTATTTCTTAGCTACTTTTTGTGAGTACACTGTGAAGTTAATAGGAATAACCTTGGTGAGTATGGATAAATTGAGTTCTTTGTCTACACTTACATCAGAGGCCATTTATGTTTGCAAATTATAAGACAGTTATATATGACTAGTTTTGCTTTCATTATGATAATGTAATGTCACTATGTGGGATAGCTTAGTGAAAGGATCATATAATTTGATTCAGACATTCATGGGCCTGACTCTTGCTCTGATGCTTTTTAATGGTTACTCAGCCTTTCAGCCTCAGTTGACTCATCTGTACTTGGGCTTGTTAAAACCTTTCATGAAACAAAGGACTTTGTGAATACAACTTTGTGCTATGACTGGTATGTTAGAGGGCCACAATGTTACTTTCTTTTCTCTTACTGTATCATGATTTATCCTTTACAAGCTTTTGTTTTGTCTCAAAAATTCAACAAACTAAACTTTCCTAGCTGTTGTCAGGAAGGGGTCAATTAACATTGCAGGAGGGTATGAGCTATCCCTCCAAGGAGGAGCCAGATCGCAGTGATTGCATTTGCCAATATATGATGTAAATAGACCTATCATGGCTGATTTCAAATGACCAACAAAAGTCATGGCAATCAGAGTTGGAACTAAGCGCCATTATATGGTTTTCACCAACTGGTAATAGCAGTTGCAGATAGCATCAAGAGCATAGTAAATAGGCAGTGATGAGTTTGAAGTATCTGTTATCTTTTTTTTAGTGTAATTTATTTCAGTTGTATGTTTATATAATTTAACCTTTAATGATGGCTGTTTCACAACTGGCTTGCCAAACATCCTGAGGCTGTGACAGTCAGTTCTAGTGGACTGGTATAAGCTGGCTCTCGCATAGCACTGATAGTAGGTTTCCTGTTGTGAAGATATTTCTAAGCCACAGTTTTTCAATTATCTCTCAACCCTGGTGGTAAGAATTGGTTCAGTTGAAAAAACCAAGTTTTGGTTTTGAATCCATGCTTGATAACCCAAGTTATCATCTCATGTAGCTTCTGGAATTGAAGATAAGTGGCAACACCAACTTAGAATTTAAGCCCACTTTCTTAAGTGTGTGACTAGAGTTATCAAGGTTGTTGACTCAGCTTTGTAACTGGACCTTGGTATTCCTTGTCGCTCCTAGTTATGGACAGAAGTTCCTTCTCTCTCTTCCCTGTATTTCTTCACGTCTGAATTTCCTCAGGTAGTCCCACTGTGGGAACAAGAAGCCTGGGCACCTTCTGACTAGGCATGTCATAAAGCTTTGCTTTTAATTTAGAAATTAAGTTGTAATTAACGTGAGTTGTCTGTAGAGAGGAAGGAGCCAAACAAAACAAAACCAAACCAGGGCAGTTTAAAATTCATAATGGCTTGAAGAAGAACTTGTGTTGTTAAATGGGGGAAAGAAATGGTAACTGGATTAGATGCCTCATTATTTCTTCTAGAAGCAGTTTCTTCTAACTTACCCTTTAGGAGGGAACAATTGAAACCTGAAATTGCTAAGTAACAACCAAGATTGTAATGCTTGTTTTTATTTTAAATCTCACCCACCTAGTTCTCAAAACATATTCTTGATTGAACCTTTTAAAAAATGCCTTGGATATTTCAAAGTAATGTTTGTGTCAGTTCCCTGAATCAGACTTACATAATCTTTAAACATTTCTTTCCCTTATTTCTTCCTTAAACAATAGTTATTTATAGTTCCTACTGAGTCAAGGATGGTTTTGGGTTATTGCAAAACTAATTTTTGTCCTTTGTAAGTGGTAGGAGGCTCATGGATAGAAATTTGAGAGATTTGCCTCTGGCTTAAGAAATATCGACCTGTGTCTGAATCACTTTGAATAAGGGTGACTTGGTAACTTTGAAAGTAAACATGGGAATAATAATTAACAGCAAAACCTCACCACAGAGAAGATATTCTTACCTTATGCTATTTCTGAGCAAGCCCAATTTACAGCACTTCTAGATAGGTGTAGTGTCTTACAATATGTAAACATTGCAGACTTACTTAGTCAGACTTATTCCACTTCATGAGTTGTTAATCAAGCCTGAACATAAGAAACTATAATTTTAAAACAAATGTGTTAGATATCATAAAAAATGTTTAAAAAATTCAGGAACCAGGAAAGAGGAATTATTGGTGTGGTAAGAGTAGGCTAGGTCAGAGATAGTTTCAGGATGTGATGGTATGAGTATGAATTATTAAACCTGATGCCATTTAATTAATATGCCATTTTAACAGCCAACACATTTTATTTTATATTATTTATTTTAAAAGATTTATTTGTGCATACAGAACTGGGGTACAGGCCAGAGACTCAGGGGTGGCGAAAGACTTCACCAGAGACAGAGTGGGGAGCAGAACAGGCAGATCACGAAGTATACTGCTGAGGGGAGCAGCGGGCGGGTCAGGAGAGGTCTGCCACACCATGTGGTCACCTCCGGGGCAGGCGGGGCTCGAATTCATGGGGAAGTGGTTTCAGCTTCTTAGTGCAGTGCTTTAACCCGCTGCACCACCAGGGAGGGCCCACACATTTTTATTTTTATAAAATATAAACAACCCGAGTATTATTTAATCCACTTTTGAGTATATAGTTCATTGGCATTAATTACAGTCACACTGAGGCATAACCATCACTACTGTCTATTTTTAAAACTTTTTTATCACAAGAAACAGATACTGGGGAAGTACTAAGCAATACCATGCCATACTTCTTCCTCCTGGCTTATTATAACGTCTATTCTACTTTCTATTTCTATGAATTTGCCTATTTAGACACCTATAAATGGAATTGTATAATACTTGTCGTTTTGTGTCTGGCTTACTTCACCTAGCGCAGTGTTTGTATGGTTCATCTCTATTGTCACATGTTTCAGAACATCTTTCTCTTTAATGGATGAATAAGACTCTGTTGTACAGGTATATCATATTTGTTTATATACTTCTTGACAGACACTTGAATTGTTTCCACCTGTTGGCATTTCTGAACAATGCTGGTATGAACATTGACAAATATCAATTTGAGTCTTTGTAAAATATTTTTTTAAATATAGGATTTAATAATGCTAATTGGAAAGAACATAAAAATGTGAAAAATTGTTAAGGATAGAATACTTACAAATATCATCACTATCCAGAGATACCATTATTAACTATGTATTTTTTTTTCTTTGTATTCCACTTTTCTCTTTTTTTTTCAGTTTTTAATGCTTATACTTTATATATATATATATATAAAGTATATAAATACATGTATACATAGTCATTCTATTTTTGTACATCATTGTTCTCTTTTGTACAATGTTTGCTTTCTTAGCTGTAATCCCCATAAAATTCATACGACCAATCACCCTTTAACCATCATCATGGTCCCTTGTGCTCTTCCCTTCCCTGCTTTGATCCCTCTCCTTCCCCTGCAGCATATCTTTGATTTATTGCTGCCTGCTAGTTTTGTTTATTTATTATTTTTTTGGTCCCTTATTTGATTCCCTATATGAATATAGGAGAATTTCCTATATGAGTATAGGAAATTTAATTTCCTCCTATAAATGAAACCATCTTTTTCCTCTTGACTTATTTCACTGAACGTGATCTTTCCAGCTCCATCAGTGTTGCTACCAGTAGCATATGTTTATCTTTTTGATTGCTGAATAGTACTCCACTGTGGATATATACCTCCTCCTCTTGATCTACTCATCAATTTTTGGGCATTTGGGTTGTTTTCATATTTTAGCTGTTATAAATATTTTAGTGCTGCAGTAAACTTAGGGTTGCAGATATACTTTTGAATTAATGTTTTCATATTCTTTGGGTAGATCCCCAGGAGTAGTGTAGCTGGGTCATATGGAAGCTTCTTTTTTAGTAATTTGAGGATGCAGAAGAGTTCCTTTTCCTCCACATCCTCACCAGCACTTATTGGTGCCAGTTTTTTTTTTTTTTTTTTTTTTTTTTTGATATGTGACTTTTCTCACTGGGGTAAGATGGTATCTCACTGTGGATTTGATTTCCATAAGTGATGTTGAAAATTTTTTCATCTACCTGATGTCTGCCAAACTCAATGACTGACAAGATATATACTTTTTTCTCCCTTAAGAAGATCATTGTAAACATTGTTTAAAAAACAATGTAACTGACAGTATAATGAGAACATACCACATCAATTAAATATACACCTACTTCATTTTTTTTCAGTGTCATATAGCATTTCATGTGTGTGGTCTATAATATCTTAAACCATTTTTCTCTTAGTGGGAACATAGTGGGCATTACTTTTTCATTCTAGAAAGCACACTGTGATGAAAATTTTAGTGCATGCATTGTGGTGCACATGTCCAG